TTGTGTTCTCTCAACTCCACAGTATCCTTGGAACATAACAAATTATTAGGAAATGATTCAAGACAATGTTGTGACAGAAAGGAAGCAGTAAGCAATTTTATCATACCTGCAGCAGGAAACGAATCCTTGCTGGCAATTCCTTACTTGACATCAAGGAGCGCATACGGGCAAAGTACTGATCCATTAAGGACTGGAGGAACAGAAGTGATGTTATAAGTGAGGACTAATTCTATCAATGTCTTGAGTATTTTCAGGAAAGGTGACCACGATCAACACATCTAAGATCAAAGTTACAAAACAGACTGCCATCTCAAGCTCTTCCACAGCAGTCAAGCTTAAGGAAAGCTAACGCATCAGGGCATCTCATCTGAGTAGAAGATGAAAACCTCTCAAAATCCCCATTACTATGGCACTATTTAAAGTTTACATTCAGAACTGGCATATCAAGGTCCAGAAGAAATCTGTCAGGTCACTAGTTGTCTTCAAAATAGAATTCCTCACCACATCCTCTCAGGTAGCATTTCAAGAAACAACATTCTTACTTTCATGACTTCCTACTGACCCTAACTGCATTCTGGAAAGCCATTTGAAACCATTTCAGTTGATCCTCAGTGGATATGCCCATACCTTGGCTTTTGCATGGTCTAATCTAGGTCCCACTGTCCTCATTATCTGACAGAGGCACTCCAAATCCTCCCCCATATCTTTGAGTTGGACTCTCTTCTTCTTTTCCAAAAGCTGAAAAATTAAAATTAGGTATTTCAACACATTATAAATGACAATTTGTAGCAAGTAGCAACTTTGTACACAGAACACATGCAGACATTTCATCTTCTGATCAAATGAACTTGAAAATTAGTTTAAGAACTGCTAATTTAATTTTTTGTTACTCAGAAGTGTATGTACTTTGAAGTACCTGTGGTACTTCTGTCTAGGCCAAACTACATCTTCACTTGGAGACAATTCCCACGGCTTTGACCAAAGCCAATTTTACTTCTTAATTACATCAGAAGACTGTTTATTTCAAATAGGGGGGGTAGATAATAGACAGATAACTTTAATAGTATTTTATGCTCAAAAATTCCTAAAGCAACATAAACACATTTTTTAGTTTACAAGTCCAATTTTGCTCTTAGCCCCCACCCAATACAAATACTCACTGTTTTGATGCACTTATGAAGGATAGATTCATGAATAAGATCAAGCTTGCCAAGTTCTCCAATGAATTTGATGTTCCCCAGCATCTTGATCTTGGCAATGGCTCTCTGTTCCTCCTCCTCAGGGAGGAGGGGACCATCATGCTTATCATAGACTGTAAAACAAAGAAGCCTGTTTTAACACTGCTGTGGAAAGAGAAAGTAAGTAAATTCTGTATTAAAGTGGTTTTAAAGCTTACTATCAACATTTCTGGTTCGGTTTTCAAATTCATCTTGAAGTTTAGATATTAGGAGGCGTCTGAATGTCTAAGAAAAGAAAACAAAGAAAACAATTAAGATAATCAGTGGAACTACAGATGCTAGCAAAACTTATCATTCCAGACTGACATATACTCACTGTGCTTTGCTTCTGTCCTGGATGACTCTCTGCTGATGGGCCATCAAAGTTGGGTGCATCTTCTGCCAGTCGCAGACATAGTTGAGCATACAGTGAGCTATACTTGGGCTCTTCAAGGGCTTTGTCTACGATCTAAATAGATTTGGTCTGAGTTAGGTAGGGTAGCATGTAGTGGGATGCAAACATTACTAGGAAGTGAGTTGCCATACATACAGTGGAATATTAATTACCACTCTGACATCTAGAACGTCCAACTACTCTTCGCTATTTCAAACATACAGAAATAATGAATTTTATTTTAACACTAATGTCAAAGGAAGTGAAAAATTGTTAGGCTACCAAAGAGCTTCTATACTCTTTAGCCAATAAATGGGACAGATTTGAAGTCTATCATCAGAACACCAAGTATGTCTAATCTGAGGTCAGGTTGGTGATACTAGGTGACATGATCAGTTAAATCAGCGTAGTACCAAGAGGTCACCTGTGGCACCAAGACCATTAGGTTTGTCAGGAAAACAGGAAGGGGGCGGGGGGGCAAAGAATTAAAATTGCTGACTAGCATCGTAAAGGTTATTAAGAAACCCCAAGCAAACATAAAAATCCCCAATCACGTTTAGTGATTCTTGTGACTTCTGAAATGGAAAGCTAGGAGCATTAATCCTACCTCCTCCCTGGTATATCCTTTTTACACACAAAAAAAAAGCAGGAATGGTATTTCTGTCTGGATTATCAGACACATTAGACACATCACTCCTATATCCCACCAAAACCAGGCAACCTCTTCAGTTTTAACGTGCAAGAAAACTAGTTAGAAGAAATGCAGCCAGCTTACCAGCAGTATGACCCCTTTTAGGATGAGCTTAGATTCTACACCCACATTGAGGAGCTCAAGGCATAGCTTGTCAAACTTTTCAGGAGTAAGCTTATTTAGTATGCTAAGAAGGAAAAAACAAAAATAAACAGATTACAGCTATTGTAAGCATGCCACAGGTCATTTTAGACCCAAGTTTACCTTTGCTACTTAAGTCTGTTAAAAAAAAATTTCCAAGTGCAATTTTCAACTTTGTTTTTGGTGTACTTTTAGAATGTAGAAGTATTATTGAAAAAAACCAATCTCCTCTACAATTACTTCCAAGTATTCGCTGCTACTGGCCTCTCAGTTTCTGCACCCTTCCATTCAAAGGAGGCAACATGCCCCCCCCAACTCAAGACCTGCATCTCTTCCTTTTATCCAGACCATTTATTAAAGAGATTATTGCTGAAAAAAAAATAGTGAGGAAAGAAAAAAATCTTACAAAGAACTTACCCTCTTACTTTCCTGAAGATTGCATCATGTCGTTCTTTGTCGTTTGCGGAGTCGTCATCTCGTCTAGTGCTTCGTGAAGGAATCCATTTCTGAGCGTTTTGCCCTGGGGTTTTCCCCAGGAACTCGCTGTAAGATTTTTAAGAATTGTTAAACAGAAACAATTTCAAGAACTGGCCTTTTAAACTTTCAGTGTTGCCTTACTTAACCTGATTCTATTACTAGCTTTGTTAAGAGCATGCACTCACCCCTATCAAAACTGCATCATCTGTTGCACAGTATTCATTCAACAATCGTTATTAAAAAATCTGTGCACCTCATATCACTCATGACACACACTTTAAACAGATGATATGTTTATCCTGCCACACACTGGATGATATCAACATGTCATGAACTCTTGTAGGTATTCCTTAAAGATACTCCATTTTCAACTCAGTATTCACCATCAAGCCTTTGAAATCATGCCAAATCAAAGAAGAAAACATACCTGTTGCTGGCAGTCTTGGGATAGTGCTGAGGTGCACCCCTACCACCTCCTCCGCCTGAAGAAGCACTGTTAAAAACAACCATGTGATCTCGTGTAAGTTCAAAATCCTAATGCTTTCAACTACATCTCAGTTTTGGTCTAAACATGAGACAAATTTAAGTTCTCCTCAAAGGACAGTTTCCACTGCCAAGTGTTCATCAAACGACAACAAAAAGCACTAGTACCTGAAACGAGAAGCACCCCCTTCTGCAATCGCACTCTCCACTTTGGCGGCTTGACAACGAAGAATCTTCAAAAGAATAAAATTAAATTGACGGGGTGGGGAAAAACAAAACCTAGAAAGACAAATCAAGCATTCATATTATAGTTGTTTTACTCGCAGCCATTGTATGTAACTTACAATAAAAGTACAAACATTTGTTAGAGAAGGGGAACCCTCAAACACTTCATGAAAGATAAGACGACTCTTATTATGCAATACTTGGGGTACTCACAGAAAGGCCAATTTCATCATTATAGCCGTGTTTTCCAACGGGGCTGAGGGAGGGGGGATAAGGGAATCACGGACTGAGAGAGTAAGAGCCTCAAAATTACCCTGCCAAGCCCCGAAAAGCACTGGTAGACGAAAGAAGGGTGTTTTTCCGCTAGTACATCATAATTAAATGAGTCCTTTACTGACATACTCTACAAACTACGCTTAATTACGAGACAGCAGTCAAATCTCAACGTGACAAGTACCGGACTACAAAACGCACACGTAAGCCACTAAAAGGGATGTATTCCACACTGACGTGCAAGCGGCCGATTAAGCTACTAATAACGGAAAAACTATCGCCCTTCCCCAGCTCTAAGCCTGCGGGGCAGCAGCGGCAAGAACGACCTCCCTGCTCCGCTCAGGGAGCGCCCCCGGGGAGCGGGGAAGGACGCGGGAGCGGACGCGAGGCGCCACGAGCCGGAGCCCGCAGCCCCCGGCGGCGGCACGAGGCACGGCTCAACATGGCGGCCGCCGAACAAAGGCGCGGCGGGCGGGGCGCCCCCCGCAGGAGATGGCGCTGCC